GTTGTCCAGGCGGGTCTCGACCCCGCAGGCTCAGGCAATCCACTCACTTCAGCCTCCCAAAGGCGCGGGATTACAGGCTGAGCCACCGAGCGGCATCCCTGCCTTTAAATAGAAGACTAGATTAGTAGCTTAGAGATTTTACCATCGTGTGGCAATAACTACATGAATTTAGAATTCTCTAAACCAAGAGTTGTAAACTGTAGCCTACCTCCAGGCTGTTTATTGACCTTGATCTTCCCTCATCTTGGAATGCTCTTCTCCCAGGTTGGTAGGCACATTCTTAGGTGCTCAGATAGCCTCTTCTCGGAGACATCAGCCCTGACCATCCTACCTAAAGCTTTGATTGGACTGTACTAGTCCTAGTAGAGACACTATGCATTAGGTGCTATACCATGTAAGCAGAAATCTCCCCTTTAAATAGCACTTGCCACATACATGTGAAAGCAGTGAGGAGCCTTAGTGATTACAGAGGACATTCCAGTTAGAGATTAGAAAATTCAGGGACAGTGTGGAGAAACAACTTACCCAGAGTTACCCATGAGTTTAAACCAGGTCTGGAACTGCAACCCAAACAGTTGTCCTCACTCCCAGCCCAGTGTCTTACCCCTTGTTTTCAGACAGACTCTTGGTTGATGAGGATAGTTTTGGCCTCAGTGGACACTGCCCAAAGGGTGTGGAGGGTGGCACTCTGCTACCTGTTGCTCTAACCGCTCCTGCCTTATGCCATTACAGAGCACCTACTGTGCCACCATGGTCCAGCACTGTGAAGCCCTCAACCGGTCTGTCCAAGTTGTAAACCTGGATCCAGCAGCAGAGCATTTCAACTACCCGGTGATGGCTGGTACATCCTGAGCAGTCTTCCCCCTCCTTCAGGAACAGTAAGGGTTGGGAGGCAGTGAATACTATCTCCTCAGCACAGAAGCTGAGAAATTAATCATTGCAGACTGGTTCCCTGGTTTCATGGTGGACAGCATGAGGCTGAGTGTCATTTGGTGACATCTGTTCATAGTGATGCATGGGACAGTATTCTTCCTTGGTGTTTGTAAAATGTAAAAGTGAATGAACTCTCTCACCACCCTTCCCTCTGTCCCTTTCATGCTTAGTTTTGCTAGAATGAATCTAGTATACTGTCAGTAAGCAGCCCGGGTTTTTAAAATTCTTTTTTTTCTCTTTTTTTGAGTTGGAGTCTCACTCTGTCATATAGGCTGGAGTGCAGTGGCACGCTCACGGCCACCACAGCCTTGACCTGCTGGGCTCAGGTGATCCCTCCGCCTCAACCTTCCAAGTAGCTGGAACTGCAGGCACGCAGCCACTATGTCTGGCTAATTTTTTAGTTTATTGTAGAGATGAAGTCTCTCCAAGTTGCCCAGGCTGGTCTCAAACCCATGGACTCAGGCAATCTTCTTACCAGTTAAGGCTCTCAACACCTGCATCTTCCCAAATCTAACAGCCACTTCTCCGTCCTCAGCTTACCCAACCTCTCAGCTGTATCTGACATTACCAGCTACCCCCTCTTGAAACATTCTTTCCTCCTGGCTTTTGTGAAGCTACATTTTCCTCCACCTTGCTTCTACCTTTGACCTCCTAGAGTCCATTTTTCATCTGCAAGCCTGAGTTATCTTTAAGCACATTCATCAGACGTCAGTCCTCTCCTCTGCCTAGTACCCTCTGGGGCATTCCCGTGCTGACAGATGACATTCGAACTTCTCGTGACCTGCTGGCCCCTGCCCACTGCTTTTCTTCACTCAGTATGCTTCAGCTCCGACATCTTCACTTTTCTGGAAAATACCAAATCCTTTCTCACCTCTAAACTACTGACCTCCGTGTTCCCTCATTCTGGAAGGCTTCCCCTAGCCTGATAAGCATATTGCCATCCTTCAGTTAAGGCTCAAAAAAACCCTCCTCAGAGACATTGTCCCTGACCACCCTCCCTAAAGCAACCTCTCCCAGTTGGTCCTCATCAGCCTGTTTGCAGTCCTTGCCGCATTCTATGATATGTTTATCACTTTCTTTACTGTTTATCTCCCCAGTAAAAGGGGGAGGGATAGTGTCTGTCTTGTTTTTTTGCCATAACCCTGGTGTCTGGAATAAAACAGGTGTTCAACAGACACTGAAATGAACAAATGAGAATTTTTAGGCTGGGTGCAGGGGCTCATGCCTATAATCCCAGCACTTTGGGAGGCCAAGGTGAGAGGATTGCCTGAGCCCATGGATTCGAGACTAGCCTGGGCAACTTGGCGAGACCTCGTCTCTACAGTAAATCAAAAAATTAGCCAGGCATGATGGCACGCACCTGTAGTTCCAGCTGCTTGGGAGACTGATGTGGAAGAAGTGCCTGAGCCCAGCAGGTCAAGGCTACGGTAACTGTGAGCATGCCACTGCACTCCAGTCTGGGTGACAGAGTGAGACTCCAACTCAAAAAAAAAAAAGAGAGAAAAAAACATTGGAAATAGTGGCCAGGCACAGTGGCTCACACCTATAATCCTAGCACTTCTGTAATCCCAGCACTTTGGGAGGCTGAGGTGAGGTGGGAGGATTGTTTAAATCTGGGAGTTCAAGCAGCCTGAGCAACATAGCAAGACTTCATCTCTACAAAAAATAAAAACATTAGCTTTGACATGGTGGCATGCAGCAGTAGTCCCAGCTACTTGGGAGGCTGAGGCGGGAGGATCATCAGAGCCCAGGAAGTTGAGGCTACCGTGAACCATGATTGTGCCACTGAATTCCAGCCTGGGTCACAGAGTGAGACCCCAACTCAAAAAAAGAAAAAAAGATTGGAGATCGTAACTGGAATGTATTTGTATACTGAAAAGAATGATCCAGTAGAAAGAAAAAATCTGAAGATGCCAGAGAAAGTGAAAATATCTGCAGAAGTGACTACAAGATTGAGACGGAAGAGGGGATCTGGAACATTGGGGGGGGGGTCGCCTTTGCTAGGAGTGACATGCTTCTTCCATTGTAACAGGAAGGAAGGTGGGTGGGTGGAAGGCATCATGTGGATTCATGGGAAGATGAGAAATTCTGTCCTTGGCTTCTCATTTCTGTTGATATATGTGGTCACTAGTTGAGAGTGACTGCAAGAGGCCAGGTCCAGATAAGGCAGATTGGAGAGGAGACATGAAATGGTCATCTTCCTTGAGAAAAAGTCATTGCATTACTTTGAGATTGTTTGGCTGCAGCAAACCAGAAGCACTCTAGCTAGCTTAAGTAAAAGCAGGATTATTGGAAGGAATCAGGGGTCCTCTCACAAAACAAGAACAAGACTTTACGAGATACCAGAACCCAAAACAGAAAAATGCACAGGAACCAAGGTTGGCCCGCTGTCTGTCTCTGTCTTTTTCTTTCCCTTGCAGACCAGTTTTCTCTGTTTCAGGGTGCATGTGGTCCCCCTAGCCCCAGGTTTACATCACTTTCTAGTCCAGGTGTCTTACTGACTGATTAGTGACCTTGATTTATCCTTTTCAAAGGCCAATTTTGTGTCCCAAAACTCAGTTGTTTATGCATACCTACCCCCAAAGTCTGAGGAAGCTGAGAGGCCAAAGAAGGAGGCTGACAAATCCAGTTTCTCGTAAAGAAGGAATTTACAGACCGGGTGTGGTGGCTCAAGCCTGTAATCCCAGCACTTTGGAAGGCCAAGGCAAGAGGACTGCCTGAGCCCAGGGGTTCAAGATCAGCCTGGCCAACTTGGTTAGACCTCCTCTCTACAATAAAATTAAAAAATTAGCCAAGCGTGGTCCCACTTGCCTGTTGTTCTGGCTACTTAAAAGGCGGAAGGATCACCTGAGCTCAGCAGGTCGAGGCTGTAGTGGCCATGAGCTTGCCACTGCACTCCAGCCTGGGTGACAGAGTGAGACTCTGACTCAAAAAAAAAGAAGGGATTTACAAACAACAATCGTCTTGTGTCTCAGGTGGTGGCAAGACAAGATGGTGGATCCCTGTGCCATCATCTCCCAGACTCAGGGTTTATATACCATAGGGAAGGGTGATTCACAAGGGATGTGTAAGACATCTGAGCCGAGCTCGGCGGCTTAGCCTGTAATCCCGTGCTTTGGGAGGCTGAGGTGAGTGGATTGCCTGAGCCCGTGGGTTCGAGACCCTCCTGGGCAACTTGGTGAGACCTCATCTCTACAATAAATCAAAAAAGGCTGGGCTCGGTGGCTCAGCCTGTAATCCCATGCTTTGGGAGGCTGAGGTGAGTGAATTGCCTGAGCCCGCGGGTTCGAGACCCACCTGGGCAACTTGGTGAGACCTCATCTCTACAATAAATCAAAAAAATTAGCCGGGTGTGGTAGCGCACGCCTGTAGTTCC